GCTCAGGCTGGTTTCGAACTCCTGAGCTCAAACAATCCGCCGGCCTCGGCCTCCCAGAGAGCTAGGATTACAGGCGTGAGCCACCGCGCCCAGCCTGAATTTAGCACTTTCTTGAGTTCTGTGAGCCACCCCAGCGAGCTATCGAACCTGAGCGGGCGGTGAGAACCCTGAATTTGCAGCTAGTTGGCTAAAAGCGCGTGTCGCCGGGAATACCTGGGCTGGCGGGTTGGTGTCTGGAGCAATGGCAGCCTCGCGAGGACGGTGACCCTAACCTGTGAAGCCACACTAACCCCGGCACGGTGAGAACTGCACCTAGGGACTTGCTAATCTTTACACAGCTAACAGACCCGTAGCAGGTCTTTCGCTAATTATATTGAATCCACATCCTCCGAGTGGCTCATCTAACTCCCCACGCCAGAAATCACGAGTCTGATCTGAGCGGCTTTTAACCTATGATAATAACGTGCTATAATTTGAGTCTTTTGCATCAATGAAAACGGTTAATTCAATTAAGCAGCAATTGCTGAGAGCAAAAGCCACTGGAGCGGTAGTAAACGTGAAACCTTAATGCCATTGTTAGGTAGAAGTTGCTAGTTCAGAGCATATTCTAATTTTTCCTGAAGACCCACAGTCTTTAGCCCGTTTTAGAATGTGTCCTCCTTTCTGTAAGTCTTGCCTTCTCAAAATGCCTTGTGAGGACGAGATTGAGGGGGTTCCAGGAACAGCGGCGTGGCCCGTATATGTGCGAACAGCGGTAAAGGTAAGCGGTCACCTGTGTAGTAGGCTTGCAAGATCTCCTTCATTTGCCTGCTGGTCCTGGTGGTTAAGATCTCAATCAAGGCATCTTCATTTGTTCCAGTCCCCTAAAAAGGAAAAGCAAATCTGATTTTTAGAACACTTAAAAGAATTTAATTTCATGCCTTTCAGCCTTAATATCTCATTTTGTACCAGTGAAAGAACATTTTTGGGTAAATCAATACAAGGTCCCATATTGCTCTAGTTTTCTAATTTTCCATACATTTTAGTATTAGAATATTAATAACGTGAATTGTCTGGAATAAAGACATCAAATTGTTCAAGAAAATTTCCTGCTCTAAAGAGCAATCAAATCATCCCAGGAAGAAACAGTACAAAGGAGAAAGGCTACTTCGTTCAAGATCAGCAGTGGGAGTCCAATAGGATTAACCCTCCTGGGCATTCATCGTGCCGCTACGTTTAGAAAGAGCCCTGCAGCATTTCTCTGTGAGTTCATCCTCCTACCGCTGCACTGGGTGGTCGGCGGGCATCCTCCTCCTCATACAAGGAGGTTTCCGGTCCTCGATAATCTGTGTTATGGGCCCAGCTGGCGTGGGGACTAGTTAGCTCTCAGCCTCATTTATATTGTGGTCACTGACTCTGAGACTCCAGAGAAAGCCGTTTACCCTAGGACTTGACCAAATAAAGACTGAATTCTGTCCCTCTGTGGCAGAGATACCTAGATGCCCCCAATATCTCTTTTGTTTTGCTTCCTGAGTGATAGAACCTCTAACTTTTAACTTGGCATATAGCTACCCAAATAAGGGCTATATTTCTCAGCTTCCTTTATAGCAAAGTTTATAGCCATATAACTAAACTTTGACCAACGGGATTTGTGCAGAAGTATCACGTGCATGTACTGGAAGTGTCCTTAAAAAGAGGGAGTGAACCCTTGGTTGTTCTTTGCTCTTTGTAGTTGACTGGGATGAAGATGCAATGGCTGGATCTTCAGCTGCCATCTTTAACCAAAAAGGGGAAACCACGGGCTGGAGACGACAGAGCTTTAAGATCACAGGAACCTGGATCTCTGATGATGGTGGTGCCCCCACACCCCGCCCTGGGAGGCTTGCTTTGGATTTCTTTTGTGAGAAAGAGAAATTGTTCTAATCCTTGCTGGTGCAGCTAACCTTCCCCAGGTGGTAGCCACAGAGGCTCCCTGCTCAGATTTCACTGCGAGAGAATCTGCTGCAAAGACTGTAGTTAGTTAATAGCTTCCAACTGCTGCACCTTTGGATCCCACGCGGAGTTCACGGTCTCTCCAGGCTGCTGTCAGCCGACGACTGAACACGGCAGGTCCCGGAGCTGCTTCTGCCAAAGGGCAGCCTTTGCTCGGGGCTCCCGACACCCTGCGTAGGCTTTCTCAGAGCTGAGGCTGGTCCGATCCGAGCCTCCTGCCCGCCCTTCTTGCACAGGGGCGGACCTGCACTGAAGCTGCCTCACTCTAC